CATGTCAGCATGTGTATTCTGATTGCTGAGAAACCTGTCATTTGTCAGTGAAGGTTGCTTACAGTATTTAGCTGCTATTTATGCTTTGAGTCTATTTTTGTGCTGCCCCACTAATTACTATATACACACTCACAGGACTTTCTTGAGCTGCAAGTCTAGTGTTATCCATTTGAATGAATGAGATGACCCCCCCTATTGGTTTTGTATACAAACCACTGGCTATATTTAGATATGTACATATTTAGAAATACAACACTGCCAACTTAAAGCTGGGGAGTGTAGTATCATAAATCCTGCCTACTGGACACACATGGCTTGCCTGGATGATTCTCTTACAATACAACACTGAAGACTAATACAGGCCATAGATGAGATGAAAAACGGCCGAAAATTGTCCGAAAAAAAAAAAATCGGACGATTTTCAGATCGTTAGTGCGGTAATCGGTTGGCCATTTTTAGTGATTTTTGCCCTTTTCGATTATCAGTCCTGCTGGAAAAAAATCAGCCAAATTTGTCGTTCTGCCGATTTTCGCGGCAATGATGGACAAATCTGCTGATCTTTTTCCAATTTAAAAATATTTGCATGAGCAGTGACATGAAAAAGAGAAGGAAAAGAAGAAAAGGAAAAAAATAGAATATGAATGAAAAGAAGAAAAAGAATATGAATAAAAAGAAGAAATAGAATATAAAGAAGAAGAAGAAACAGAAGAAATAGAATATAAAGAAGTAGGAGAAAAAGAAGAAATAGAATATGAAGAAGAAAAAGAAGAAATAGAATATGAAGGAGAAGAAATAGAAGAAAGAATATGAAGAAGAAGTAGAAAAAAAAAAAGAATTTCAGTCCGATATTATATTTGACATTTAAAAGTAAAGCAACATCTGTATCCGAAATGGATACAAATAGATACAATGTTGCAACTTTTTTTCTTATTATTATTCATTCTATTCTATTTCTTCTTCGTCTGCATATTCTATTTCTTCTTTTTATTCATATTCTATTTCTTCTCCTTCTGCATATTCTATTTATTCTTTTTATTCATATTCTATTTATTCTTCTTCTGCATATTCTATTTCTTCTTATGCATATTCTATATAATTTGCAGCCGTAGACGGGACGAAAATCAGCCGACTTTTTTTTACCAATGGTGGTAACGTCGGCTGATTGAATGGCTGATTTTTCATTTTTCTAACAAAAAACGTCCGGTTTTCTCCCCGTCTATGGCCTGCATAAGGCTACTACTGAAAGATAATATGATATCATTACTACACCATCTTGTATTTGATTGGATTAAAAATGGCCCTGCTTTTTTATTCTACAGATACTCCAATTTTCTACAATTGTTCAAAAATACGAATACCATTTCTAGCAATATGGCAAATGGTACATTTTTGGTACACAGCTGTAAAGTTTTCAATAGAGCCTGTTCCCACCAGTACATGCGAAATGCCATTTACGTCAGTTCAGGTGTATAACATGCACATTTAACCCATATGTCCTGGTGGGAATGAACCCTTACTGAGCATTAAACTCTTCACTTTAAGGCTACATTCACACTAGCTTTGTCAGCAGGCGTCAGACAGGCGTTTGGGAAGTGTTTTTAATGCTTCTCAAATGCCTATGAAAATTCTGCACATGGCAGCACACAGTGCTGTTCACACTGAAGCGTTAGCATCGCGTTGCAGCAAAACAAACGCTTCATGTCGAGTCAGGAGGAGTTGAAGCCTCCCATTCAAGTCTATGGTGCTGCTCCTCAAATGCCTGGCAGGCGTTTGCAGTGCGGTTGCGAGGCATTTGCGGAGCGTTAACACCATTTAACTTCATCTTAGATTGTAAGCTCCAAGGAGCAGGGCCCTCCTATCCCTCTTGTATTGAACTGTATTGTTGCTGTATTGTCTCCCGTTATATTGTAAAGCGCTCAGAAAACTGTTGGCACTATATAAATCCTGTATAATAAAAATAATAATAATAATAATTGTAGGTGTTTGTGGTGCGGTTTTAACGCTTGACAAACGCCTATCAAATGCCTCAAAACCGTGCATAGGGCGTTTGAGGAGCGTTAAAAACACTTCCCAATAATATTTTTGACTTTTTGCTATTAAACATATCCAGTAAAAAAATTTGAAAAATCTAATTTTGTCATAAATTTAGGCCAAAATGTATTCTGCTACATGTCTTTGCTAAAAAAATTCCAAATACGTGTAAATTAATTGGTTTACATGAAAGTTATAGCGTTTACAAATGGCGATATAGATAACACAGGTCTGCAAAAAAATTTTTTTCAAGAGCTGTTTTGGTTATTCCACATAATCTTTAGGTTTTTTGGTGCACTGAATCCGAAAATGACCTCCATTTTGTCATAGGACATCACGTTTCCTGACAATTTAGGTAACTATGTTAAATAAGGCAATACCTCAAAATAAATGGAAATAGACTTATAAAATTAAAGTTTTATTGCAATTTTTTCATGAAAATCCTTTTTTGAACTGAAATGAGCTCACCTACACACACTAAACTCGATTCTTCTTCCCTGTGAGGCTCCTCTTGGTGCATTTACGTTTGTTAGTGGCATCTGGAATGTCTCTCTGAAGCATCCAACAGTAGTCTGCCATTATTGTAATGCTACATTTTCCCCGGTATATCTTTTCCATCTCTTTAATGTCTTTGTGGAATCGTTCACCTTGTTCCTCACTCACAGCTCCCACATTTTCAGGAAAGTAGTCAAGGGGGGACTGGAGGAAATGCACTTTCAAACTCATCAGGCAACCTAAAGCTTGAAATGCTTTCAGCATCCGTCCGATGATCTTTTTGTAGTGAGGATCTTTGTTATTGCCTAAACATTTCTGTACGACTTCTTTAAATTTAATCCACCCTTCTTTTTGAGGATCCGTCATGGTATTGACAAACTCTTGATCAACTATAAGCCTTCTAATGTCTGGTCTGACGAACACATCTCCCTTCAATTTTGCCTCCAACAGGCCTGGAAACTTGGTGACCAAGTATTTGAAGCATTCTCCATCTCTTGGAAGTGATTTTACGAATTGCTTCATCAATCCCAATTTTATGAGGAGAGGTGGTAGAAGAACTTTATGGGAAGGTACCAAAGTTTCTCAGAGGACATTTTTTTTCACCAACTGTTAGCACCCTCGGCTGCCAACTCTTCTTGGTCCAGTGATTTTGTCGGTCTCGACCGTCCCATAGACACAGAAAACAAGGGTATTTGGTATATCCAGCTTGTTGCCCGAGCAGCATGCACAAGACCTTCAAGTCCCCACACTCTTGCCAACCATGGTCTTCATATTTAAGTTTACGAAGAACCAATTCCAAGTTCTCGTAGGTTTCCTTCAAGTGTACGGAATGACCTACAGGTATGGAAGTGTAAAAACCACCGTTGTGGAGTAAAACTGCTTTGAGACTTCTTTTTGAAGAATCTATAAAAAGACTCCTTTGCTCTGAGTCATATTGGAAATTGACTCATCAGACCTTTGACATCGATGCAATAAACCAACTTGTCTTCCTGGGCGAAGTAAGGAACGAACTCCTTTTCACAATGTCTGAACCATTAAGATGACACTCCTGGCAACAATAAATTCCTGCTTTTCAGCCTTGATCCGAGTAACTCAGCGGCATCTTTGGGAAGATTCAAGTCTCTTACCAAATCATTCATCTCCTCCTGAGAAAACAATTTTGGTCTTGTATATCTTCAAAGTCAGAACTTGATTCATCATCTGGTTCAGGTATGACTTCACCTTCATCGGAGCTAGGTATCTCTTCCAAGGTAGCAGGGGGCTTGGGTACTGGTATATCTGTGCCATGGAGGATGGGACGAATTGCTGAGTGAAGATTGGGGTATGACATGGAATGCTTCCATTTGGAATTAAACCCTTTCACATCGCATGAACAAAAGTAAGTCTTCACTATGGTTCTTTTGCTCTCGCCATACCATAGGAATCCCATAACAGAAAGATTTTTTCTTACCCTTGCACCAGTTTTGGAGGTCCTCAACACACCGTATGCACACTTTATGAGGGGCCCAAACTTTATGTTGATCTCCAATTTTTAGTCCAAAGTATGCAAAGTATACTTTTTTCACAAAGTCTGTAATATTCTGCTGTTGCTTCAACACTGTATATTCACCACAGATGAAACAGAAACTGTCTGGCGAATTAATGCTCTTTCGCGGAGCCATAACATAATGGTTGAAGAATGACGAGCTAACACGAACTGCGATGAAAAAGTGTGAACAGCCTAGAACCAAGAACCTGATGATGATTCGTGCACAAGTGTGGACTGCAGGATAGAGCAGCTCTGTGTCTGTACAGGAGACGTCACAGTGTTGGCCACGCCCCCCTGCACTGACTGGAGCTGCTGCTATCTCCTTCCCACTGGATTCTTCAGGAAAGATTAACCCCTTCTACCATTAGAAGCACAGACTCAGGGCTGAGGCTTACACATACAGCATGCTGCTGAGTATCCCAGTAGTCAGACATGTCACTCAGAGCAGCACTTGTTTTCACCCTCTTTGCAGGGGGGGAGCGGGCAGAGATTGTTTACCTGCAAATAACAACAAAGGGCCAGAAGAGAACCAGGGAAATGAGGAAATATAATTTTTTTTCCCTAAAACTTGCTAAGCTTATGTATATATTGCTGACCATTAGATTTACAGTGCTATATTTTTTTTTACATAACTCGGACAATCCCTTTAAGGTTTTTTTGGCATTTTATAGTTTAAATGCACTTTTGTGAATGAATTAATAGTAATTTGGACTTTAAATTTGGGTAAAAACCCATAATATAAAAAAATACCAAAAATTTGATAAATTTGATAAATTTGAAGACAGTTTAGCATTTTGTGGCAAATCATGACGTCTAGGAGTTTTTTCAATATTTTATTTGTTTTCAGCACACCAAAATACATGGAAATTAGATGAAAATAATCAAACAGCTTTTTAGTCGCAGACCTGTGTAATGGGGTTTTTTTTTCTGCTAGTAATAGCGCCGATCAGCGACTTTTAGTGGGACTGCAGCGGACATTCTGAAACTGCGGGGGAACTAGCTTGGTGTCACTGACACCCCAGTGACACCAATACAGTGATCAGTGCTAAAGCAAAAGCACTGACACTGTACTAATGGCACTGAGCAGGAAGGGGTTAATGTGAGGGGCGATCAAAGGGTTAACTATGTGTAGGGAGTGTTTTACTAGGGGGCGGGGGGGGTGTTTCTTCACTGTAAGCACACTGATCGGGATGCCTGTACTGAGCACAGCAATCCTGAGCAGTGTGCTCGAGCTGACAGGGAGGAAGATTGTTTGTAAACAAAACAATCTTCCTCCCCGTCGGAGATGCTCGGTAATCACTGGGTGCTGGTGGGTAATTACCAGCCGGGACCCAGTAATTGACATCCGTGGCCAGCAGAGGTAGAGCACACGTGCAGCTCATGCGCGCCCCCTACTTGGAAATGCAAAATCACATATACATACGTGATTCTGCGCACAGGTGCTGCCCTGTAGCAGTATATCCTTAAGCGGTTAAAGAGGAATTCCATGTAGGACCAGTGTAACTACCATGTGACCCTGTCACCTTGAGTACATTTGTTTGCCGCAGGTGTTAACACCTTCCTGCCCAGTTCCATTAGAACAGTATCAGTGCTTTTTATTAGCACTGATCTCTATATTGGTGTCACTGGGAATTTCAGTGACACCAAGTTAGTTTCCCCCAGTGTTAGAATGCCCTCCGCAGTCCTGCCATTACTAGCAAAAAAAAAAAAAATTTGCAGTATCTATACCGCCATTTGTAAAAGCTATAACTTTCACGTAAACCAACTAATTTACAGGTATTGGGATTTGTTTCAGCAAAGACATGTAGCATAATACATTTTGGCCTAAATTTATGATGAAATTTGATTTTTTTTAATTTTTTAACTTGACATGTTTAATGTTAAAAGTCAAAAATATAGTTTTTGTTTCTCAAAATTGTTTATAGCACAAAAAATGCACAGGCGATGAAATATTATTGAAAGAAAGCTCTATTTGTGGGGAAAAAAGAACATAAATGTCATTTGGGTGCATGACCGTGCAATTGTCAGTTAAAGTAACGCAGCACCGTATTGCAAAAAATGGCCTGGTCAGGAAGGGGGGTAAATCCTCTGGAGGGCAAGTGGTTAAGAGAGAACCATTTTCATTTTAGATAGCGGAGACTGTGAAAAGTTATCCACACGGGGGCAGAGTATTCCTGTCTGGCTCATATTTGAGCTGTAACACAATCAAGTTTTGTTTTATGAAATGTTTCAAACGTGGCACATAGAAATGAGTTTGTGACAATAAAGTCCAAAAACCTCCCACTTTAAAACTATCATGTGTATATTTCATAGTATACACTATGGGTCCACTAAGCTGAAAAGAAAAGAAAAATTTGCACAAACTGTTGATGTAAAAGACAACTTTCCGTAGAACTAGTGTTTCCAGTGAATTGATTTGAATCTGACTTGCACAGTTTATGTGACCTAACATCATTGACGTTTCTGCTTTTAAATGGTATTGCATTGGATGCTGTACAGGGTTTGTGTTTGTGGCCATAACACGGCGGCAGATTTCACCATCACTAAAATAGGAAATGCTTATGGGTGGGAACCTAGCTGAAGGCATTTCACAACATCCCAGAGGAAGGGAGACAGGAAGGGCTGGAAGAGACGCATTTTTAACAGGGATAAGCTAAAACTCTGTGTAAACTCCATGTAAAGTGGCTACACTGGAAGAGATGGGGACAATATATATATATATATATATATATATATATATACAGTATATATGCTCTATTAGCTTTATAGTGGAGGTGTAACATAAACAGGGTTGTGACCCTGAAATGTATATTTAGGGATAACAGTCTAAAAATGAATGGACAGCTTAAATTAGCACTTCACCTGGCAGTACTAGGTTCGTAGGTTCGAATGCCAACCACGGCACCACCTGTCTGGAGTTTGCATGTTCTCCCTGTGCCTGCGTGGGCTTCCTCCGGGTACTCTGGTTTCCTCCCACAATCCAAAGACATGCTGGTAGATGAATTGGATCCTGTCTAAATTGGCCCTAGTATGTGTATGTCTGAATGTGAGTTAGGGACCTTAGATTGTACGCCCCTTGAGGGTTAGGGACTGATGTGATTGTACAATATATATGTAAAAAGCGCTGCGTAAATTGACGGTGCTATATAAGTACCTTAAATAAAATAATAAATTTTTGTTTAAAGGCAGGTAAAGCATAATAAATGTTCTGGTTTTTGGCCTTTAATAGCAAACTTGGGAACTTCTGTAAATCAGTGTGTCTGAGAATGGCGGTGGGCCATATGTAAGCCATATGTCAGTATGTAGTGAAATGGTTAATGGCAGCACAGTGGCTAAAATGGTTGGCACTTCCTCCTGGCAGTACTAGGGTCGTTGGTTTGAATCCCAACCATGGCACCACCTGTCTGGAGTGTGCATGTTCTCCCCGTGCCTGTGTGGGTTTCCTCCAGGTACTCCAGTTTCCCCCCACACTCCAAAGACATGCTGGTAGGTTAATTGGACCCTGTCAAAATTGGCCCTAGTATGTGTGCAGTATGTATGAATGTAAGTTAGGGACCTTAGACTGTATGCCCCATTGAGGGTTAGGGACTGATGTGAATGTACAATATATATGTAAAGTGCTGTGTAAAACTGACAGTGCTAAGTACTTGTACTGAATGGTGTCAATGGTTGTGGTGCAGTCCAGTGAATTGAATAGTTTAATAGAAGTGAACATTCTGTCCCACAGTAAAATATGGGGCTAACAATGTCAAAGCAAGAAATGCCTCCTCATTGGTATAAAGTAAAATATGCCCTGTGTCAATGGTGTCACTAGAAAGAAAACATGCTCCTGCATCAGTGTTGTCACTTGAAAGAAAAAAATCCCCTGTACTGAAAACCAACTCACAGATCTCACATCAGCACAAATGTTGTTTGATGCAGAGATTTCTCCTGCTGAGACATTGTATTCTGACAGAGGGGCTCCCCCCCCCCGAATGCTGATATTACTGCCTGACCGTTTGTTGAACAGTCATCCATACACTTATGCAGGCCATAGACGGGTCGTTTATCGGCCGAATTTTCTTCCGCACGAAAAAATCGGCCAATAATCACGACGGCCCGTCGGCCATTTTTTCCTGGATCTCCTCATTTATTTTTATCGGTCATGCTGGAAAAACTGCAAAAAACAGCCGTTTTTTGCAGACATGGGTGGCAGCATCGGTAACGGGCCGACCGATTTTTCATTTATCAGCTCGAAAATTCGGCCGATAAACGGCCTGTCTATGGCCTGCATTAGACCAAAATTTGGCTGGTTCCTGCTGAACTGGCTGATTTTTGGACTGTGTATACCCTGCTTTAATCATTTCCATACCGGGCACTTTTACCCCCTTCCTGCCCAAGCCATTTTTCAGGTTTCAGCGCTGTCACACTTTGAATGACAATTGCACGGTCATACAACATTGTACCCAAACTAAAATTTTTAGCATTTTCTTCACACAACTAGAGCTTTCTTTTGGTGGTATTTAAAGGATAAGTTCACCTTTTATAACAAGATACATGTTACACACATATATATATTCTATCCTATTCAAACCTATTCTATTTTTTTTTATTCTGTTATTTTCTATTCCTTTATTTTCAATTCTATTCTTTTATAGTCTAATCTATTTTATTCTATTCATTTTGAAATTTGATGATTATATTCTAGCACTAATGCACAGTCTTTGAAGAAAATCAGCACTATTCAGCAATATGTTTACAACCTTTTGATCATATAGTGTATAAACACCTGACCATCACACCTACAATATATGAGTTTGTTAAATATGCCATTCCAAAACCATGAGCATTGATACACAACTGAACAACACTTTGGGGCTATAACAGGCCCCACTGGAAAGTGTGTCTGTGGGAATTTGGCCCATTTAGTAAAAAGAGCATTTGTGAGGTCTAGTATTGATATTGAACGAGAAGGGCTGGTACGCAATAGACATTTGAGTATAGCCCTAAGATTTTCAATAGGGTTGAGGTCAGGGCTTTGTGTGTGAAGGCAACTTAAGTTCCTCCACACCAACCTCACCAAACCACATCATTTTGGTCCAGGAGCGGACTGACCATTTGGAAACTTGGGCACTGCCCGAGGGCCCAGGGTCAGTAGGGGGCCCCATGAGATGTCCCTGGTACCTTTTTCATAGGCTTTTTTGAGTTTGGGCAAGGACACAGGGGCCCCATGATCCCCTATTGCCCGGGGGCCCCATGAGTTGTCAGTCCGCCCCTGTTTTGGTCCTGACTTTTGAGCACAGTCACGTCCTAAAACTGTCATCACAAGGTTGGAAGTGTACAATTGTTTAATATTTCTTTGTATGCTGTAACATTAACAAGAACCTTCATTGGAAACACCTGCGCTCAGTAATTACTGTAGGAGGGAGTGTCACATAATTTTTGCCATAAAGTATGTGCGATTATCAGGTGTCCACAAACGTTTGATCACATAGTGTATTTCAAATTTGTTTTCTAGTTCGACTTTATTTTTTAATTCAATTTGAGTTCTATTTTCGGACAAAATTTTGTTTCCTTATTTCGGATTTGTTTAAATTCGATACATTTGCAATTCCTATAAACAAAATATTTGTTTGAATTTTGATTCGAAATGAAACCAACTGCATATGTTTAGTTTACAGGCTTCACTAAAAATGTTTTAACATAACAGAGTTCAAAAAACAACAGTTCTTTCCCTGCATCCCTAGTCCCTATGTCAGTCTTATGTGCTGCCCCGGAGTACCTGAATAGGCAGACTCCATTTTTGGCACAGTAAATGGTTGGCAGAATCCAGCAGCTGGTTTCTTCAGGGTGGACTGGCAGTCCCACTACATAATGGAACGCTGCAGAAAGTAAGTGACTTCTGACTCCAGCATTGGTGGTGACACCCAGCTCACAGGCTGGGAACTCTGGAATCTGGAACCCTCACAAAGCAAGGTTCAAACACCCCAACGGCTACCGCTTTTCTCTCTCTTTTCCGCTCTTGACTCTGGACCACTGTCCCTTTTTATAGGCACAGAACCAATGTCCCAAGAAAGCCCATCAAAGAAAACCAGAGAAATAACATTACCCTGATTCCCCTGAGTGAGACAGCTCCTATCTAGGCTGTCATATTCAACCTGCTTACATGTAACCTATCACCCTCATATATGCCTCCTCTGTTATCTTCCTATGCTATTTTGGTATTTCAGTTTATTACATTTTATTTATATTTTATCTCTACATCTGTTAACGTTTTATTGTTATATACAATATCATAGCCTATTCCAAATATTTTGAGACCATATGTGTAATATGAAAAGAATGTTTGTTATATGAGAGTAAA